CCCCCATAGGAAGACGATTACAGAGGATATTGTGGAGATACTAGAGGTAGCATTTCTGCAGCTCTGCAGTGTGGCTGTGGTATTTAGACTCCTTTGGGATAACCTGGATTTTAAAATGGGTGTAAAGAGAGAAGGTACACTTTTACTAAAATTGAAAAGCAGCTCCAAGCTCTATAGCTACTCCCTGTGTTAATTTTTAACATATAAAGCATTGTTAAGAATGGAGCATTTCATTCAAGGAAAGAAATCTATGGACTGGAAATGAGGAGGGTGGGGAAGGCTTCTGCAGAAAAGAAAATGCAAAGAAGCCTACCGAATGGCAGGGTACCACTAATCTGCATATATAAATTGCAGCCAATATTATGTATGTGACGAACAGCAGATAATCTGTCAGGAAACCAGTGAAACACCAACATACAAATGGCAAAGGCCTAGCAGGACTTCAGGAAAGAAAAAATGTTTTTCAGATTTGTAAGAGATGCAGCCTTCCAGTACCTGAAGGGGGCCTACAAGGAAGCTGATGATGGACTTTTTAGAAGGGCACATAGTGATAGGACAAGGGGTAATGGCTTTAAACTGAAAGAGGGTAGATTTAGATTAGATATAAGGAAGAAATTCTTCACTATGAGGGTGGTGAGGCACTGGAACAGGTTGCCCAGAGAAGCTGTGGATGCCCCATCCCTGGAAGTGTTCACGGCCAGGATGGATGGGGCTTTGAGCAACCTGGTCTAGTGGAAGGTGTCCCTGCCCATGGCAGGGGGGTTGGAACCAGATGATCTTTAAGGTCCCTTCCAACCCAAACCATTCTATGATTCTATGATATATCACACTGACCTGTAGTGACTTCCATACGGACAGTACTAATCAATAGATCAGAATATTTGTTATGACTATTTAGCAATAATATATTACTGATAAGTAATTTTATGCAAGGCTTGAGTGATACACACTTTTTCTACAATTGGCAGGAATATCACAAACTAGGAAGCGTTACAATTCCCAAAGTATTAACACTATATATATAACATGCACACTTGCATATGAGTTTTAGAAATGCCATGACATACTTATATTTGTTACTTGGCAATATTAGTTCTCCATTAAAACTATAATATTAAGATTTATTTTTTCAGGCATGTGTTAGGCCTTATAAAATAATAGCTTTCTGATGAAATAAAAAGTGTATGTTAATTACAATAATATTTTTTTATTTTTGTGTTAAGTATAAGCATACAATATATGCATGAAATTTTTTTTGTACTGTTAATCTATTCTTAGCTTTGGTAGTCTATAAGTGATTTTTCTTTGTTATTTTTCAGCATAATGTCATGTCTTAGGAATTGCAGTGAAGTATGAATTTTCCTCGTTTTCTCCAGTTAGCAACTCTGCATTGCTCTGTCAATAGGGGAGGCTGTCAAATCCAAGATTAATAAATGAAACCCTGCATCCAATGCTGCAGGTTATTTTTAATTCAATATAGAAAGAATTACATTTCTTCCCATTACATTTTCAGCCAGAATGTGCCCTTTAGAAAACCAGTGTTCTGATCAAAAATGTTTTGCAGTTCAAAGCAGTAATTTGTACAGCCTCTTCTGGCAGTGTAGCCTGTGTGCCAGTTCACATGCTGGTTCATACTGGAAAAGAATGGCCACCGCTGAGCTGTTCACTTTCTAATGATGGCCACATTAAGCACCTCTGAGTGATGCTGTCCAGAGAAAAATGAAGAACTATTAGTCTTCATGTGCTGCTCAGCTGATTTGCACTAAACTCCAAGTCCTAATGACGGAGTAGGTAGACCTAATGTTATTTTTTAGAGAGGAGGTACACAAAATTTCTTTCATCTTTTTACTTCTGTAATGGTGGTAAAGGTGGTTAGGATGGTGCAGCAGTGTGTCATGGGGTTCCAGAGGCCTTGGCAACTCCTGGGTGCCACCTCTTTATAACAATTAACAGATCTGTTGGAAAAGTATGAATAAAAATTATGCCTCGTGACTAACCAAAAAAGATTGATTTAAAGACAATTCCCCTGAAGCTCAAATTACATGTCCTTGCAAAAGTAGATGCCTGTTCTGATAGTAACAGTGCAGACCATATGCACAAACATTTTATGCAGCTAGTGCGGAGACCAGGATACCTCTGAAAGACAGACAGATACCTCTCTTTGCAAAGAACAACTTGGGCAGCCTAAATCCTAAATTCCAGTGGCCAGTTCCTGTCTATTGACTGTGCAAGTAGCCTAAGTATCACCCTATGTGATTCAATGCACGCACACACTGACAGAAAATAGCATAAAGGAAGGAGAAATTATAAGCGTTATGAAGATATGTCCAAACAGCGTGTTTAATTCAGGGCTTCTGAATGCTTATCCATCCCTGGAAAGTATTCCGAGTTCACATATACAAGGTGAACAGATCTTAGATTTGGGAGATATAGACAGCGAGCCCCCCCCAACCTGAGTGCATGCCCCCATCCACCCGGCTGTAAAATATGCTGAACACAAGCCTGCTCTGTCCTGCCTGCTGAAGTCGGGCTGCCAGGCAGGCAGCAACACACAAACTGCGCGTTCAGGCAAGAGATGGGGAGCCTAACTCCAGCTCTGCAGCTGGGACGCTCTGCTCTGGTGGCTGTGCTGCGATTCCCCACTCCCTGGGTTACTTCTGTTTTTATCCAACGACAGCACAGCCCCCAGGAGAGAAGCAAAGGCACTGAGCACTGGATCTCTCCCAGCTGCGTTCCCAAACACACATCCATCCACAACGACACTTTCCAGCCTCTCTGGATAGCAAGGCACGGTTCGGCTGCCTCCCCAGGCACCCAGCAATACCAGGGGGGCCTCAGGGTGCCCAGTTCCCTCTGGACCAAGGCAGCCCCTGCAGGAGCCAAGCACTTTAGTGCCTGTAGCTGTCTGTGTTCCCAAATCAGGGATCTTACCAGTCTCTGCTGGTTTGGGGCATGTTGGTGTGTGACAGCACATTTTCTACACTGCGCTCTCACCCACAGGCTATATGGGTTTGCCTGGAGACCCAATTTCGCTGATCTGACTATGGGCACACATTTTGGTTTTGGTTAAGGTACTGACCTCCTAAATTGGAGTGTAATCCTTATGAGGGTTGCTAATAAGGATTTGACAGGACAAGGTTTCAGCTAATAAAAGATGGTATTACTGCCTACAGTTTTGTCCTTAAACCAACACAGCAACAGCCAAATACCTGTGATTCACAAACTGAGCTCTAATATTCAGGCTAATTATGTATTTCAGGAATCCAAGACAGCAACTTCAGGATTCTGGCTTGATTATTTTAAAAATGTGATTGATCATCAATTTCAAATGGATCTGTATCATCTAGACTCTTCCTTAAGATCTGGGAGTATGTCAAAGTAGGAGTCTGTGTATGACTGACTTTAGTTATGTATAACATTACAAATTATTACCACTAATCTCAGTAAAAATTAGCACTAATTATCTACTCTAATGAACTTTATGGAATTTACACTGAGAAAAACTGTGATTAGTTCTCTTACAGAAATGCCAGCACAAATACTTAGGGTAATTTTAGGAAGCAGGTGAAACTGGTTTTGAATCAATACCCCATTTGTGATTGTATCTGTACATTTGCTAAGCACACAAAAAAAAAGAAAAAAAACCCTCACTGAAACTGATTGTGAATAAGTTCTGAATAAGTAGGCTTACAAGAAGACTTACCCTAATTCTTTGTAACTTCAGTTCACCGTTTATTTCTCCATACCTCAAATCTTTGACTATTCACTGGAAATTCTAATTTGACTTCAGCACAATTTCCATCCTTACCAGTGAAAAGCGTAGGTGTGAAAAGCTGTCAAACCACTTTGCCCTGCTTGTGGTGCTCCTCACGTTAGCACAGCAAGTGTGAACAGTAACCACAGTGCCCATAGCTGAGGTTTTTCTAAACAAGTGATGCTGGGAGATGAAATTAGTAGGCAGGTGTTCGCGACAGAAAGATGTGAAGCACGTCTTCACTGGTACATCACCAACAATTGTGAGCAACCGACTCTCTGGACCTCTGCCCTTCAGCAACACCAAAGGAAAACTGTTTTGACAGTCAGGTATTTTAAACAGGAAAGCACTTGTTTGGATAGTTTCCTTGAAAAAAAAAAAAAAAAACCCACAAACTTCATTGTGCTTTTTCACATGGAAGAAATCCCAGAGTGCTCCTACGCTTGGGAGAGCTACCAGCCAATATCTACAAATCCACTGCATTACTCTTTCAGCTTAATCAATACAATTCTACTTCATAGTGATATTCATAAAAAAAGTACTGAGACAACAATTAATGCACTGACAGGCTGTGGCTACTGCCCATTGAGCTGAGTAATTTCTTTTCCTCTTCCTTTCTACTCCCCTGCTTGCCTCCATACACGTGCTGTTTCTTCAGCATGAGCTCTTAAATCCAACTCCACAGTTATGCTTTTTGGCACTATGTTTATGGTAAATATAAAAGCAAAGATCAATAGTTCATTCCCTTTGCCATTACAAGAATTTACTACCTATGCTTCTCTGTTTGGTTATACTTAGAGCAAAGGCAACTGCCCAGATTACTGTATTTTGAGAACTTCCATTGAGCATTAGATCACATATGCCACACCCTTAGATGGATCAGTGATGCTGCCCCAGACTACAGCAAACTCAGATTTTGCTAATATATGCTCTTTCACCTACCATGCAATGCAAGTCCACATCCAAAATTATCCACAGTCAGAGGAAACAGAAGAAGGTATTGCACAAGCTCATGAGAAGACTGTGCCTGTAGCATCATTTGAGACCCTCTATAACACCTGAACAGTGCTGGCAGGTGTGACCCACAATGTACGGGAGACCTGTAGGCTTCTGGGACAGCAGCTGGTGACCAGGTGGGATATCTTGGGGCATCTAAAATGGTGCTAGATTCACAGATTTAGACAACTGAGCTATACCCATCACAAGAAAAAGTGTACTTGAGCCACGGTAACACTGGCCTTATTACCTTGACCCGTTAACCTGGTTTGGGTTACACTCCATCTTGATGGTGACTCTGGCTGGGGGCTGCGATAACCAGTCTTGCTGGGGAACACGTGGACTCATCTTTGACGTCTGCCCATATTCACTGGAGGAGGACGCCGTCATCTCTGTCTTCGCAAGGTGGGGCGATCCGTAGGCACACTCGAACAAGGACTGGTCTTCACTCACCACTGATAACGCTTCCTGCAAACCGGAGAAGAGAAGTCAGCATGACCATGTTTCAGAGCAGACATTACAATATACCCCATGGAAAAAAGGGCTTGTGCATCTCACGAGAAGACAAACAGCCAGTCACTTGCTTAAATGCTCATTTCTTTATAGGCATGCCACTGCTGTCAGTGGAGGTGAGGACTCATGGTGCCAGACAGCATCAGCATTTGGCAGGAGGACAACCTCTCCCCTGGGGAGACACCTCCCACCAGCAGCTGAGAAGATGCACAAACACACGCTACCAAACACTTAGGAATAGTGGCCAAGAGCTGGGAGGGAGGAGAAGGCAGGACAGGCAGTGAAGCTCAGGCCTCTTGTGTCCCAGGTAGGGATGCGGAGGGACAGATCTGCCGGGAGCGTAAGCAAGCTGCCATTGCTGCTTTAAGTGCAAGGAGCGACCGAAAGCCAGGCCTTGCTGACTCACGGGAGCTCCTTTTCCTTCCTCTGGGACTGAGGCCAAGCTCCTTCTGGACAGGGAGTCGAGACAGCTGGGAGCAACCTCCAGTCCAGGGACCCTGCTCTTTCTGCCAGCATCTACTGCCAGCTTTGGTGCAGGTGCCCACCACCAGCCCCAAGAGGACACCATGCCCACCAGTCGCCTCTCTCTCATGGCAACCCTTGCTGGCGGGCCATCTGGCCAGGCATCCTGCTCCAGCACTGTGGGAAGGGCTTCCCTGGCCACCTTCCCTCGCTGTGGCAGCACTGTGGTTATGGCCCTCAAGGGCAGCAGGGTCCACCAGGCCCCTCGGTGGTGGGGTGGCTGCCACTGCAGCTGGCTGGAGACCGGACAGACACCAGAGGGAGTGAAGGCCACCCGCTCTCCCCACTGCCACGCTTTCCTATTGGCACCAGCTCCTTCCCCACGTTATCTGGAGCCCAGTCATGGGAGCGAGGCAGTGCCCGGGCCCGTCTCAGCAGGCAGCATGCCACTGGGCCCATCGGGAAGCTGCAGAAAGGGCTGATGCTGCCGGAGGGACCCGTCCTGCCTGATTTGAGGCTCCCTGGCCACAGGAACTGGTCTGGGCTCCCCACACAGGCTCGGGGTCCACCCCCCTCCAAAAGCAGCCTTTCAAGGAAAGCCCCCCTCTCCAGGGGCTACTTAGGGTGAACACAGGGCGTAAGAGCGTAAATGGACAGTAACTCAAAGCGTGACTCGCTCCCCCCACCCTGGCACCATGGCTCTGCCCTGAGATGACCAAAACAGGGCAGGGGGGCAGCCCAGCACCTCCCTCCCTCCTGCACGGCCCCATCAGTGGCCGGGGAGCAAGCCCCAGCACCGGGCCGGCAGAGCAGGCTTGGCGTGCAGCGCACCAGATGACAGCAGCCGTGGAGGCGGCCAGCTGGCGATGGCGGGAGGCGCGGAGGCCAAGGATGGGGGCGCGGGGCAGGGAGCCCGAGCCAGATTCGGGGCAGGGTGCTCTGCGCGCAACCGCACCCTCGTGAGGCATCGTGTGTGGGCCCTGCTGCCCCGCTGCTGACAGCCGACGGGAGGACAATAAAACCGCATGGCCCTGTCAGCAGAGGAGGACGCGGTGGAGCAGGGAGAGAGAAAAGAGCCAGAGCGATGGGAGTCCTCTGGCTGCGGAAAGCCGGGCAGCTGCCTGCAGGCTCTTCCCCTCCCCAGCTGCTGGAAGAGGGCTTTGCACAAGCTCCAGCAGTCGCATGCTGCCCTAAAAATCAGCAGTTGTATTAGTTCGTTTTAAGGGGGTATATATTTATCATTTTTTTTATTTGCCTGGTTTGTGAGCCCTCGAGGTACACTCTGTTAATATTCATAGCTTTCTCTGCAACCGCAAGGGCTGGAATATCACTTTCTTCTTATTACTTGTCATGGAAATTGAGATCACTCCTTAATCTCTGGACTTGGGGAACAGGTTCTCAAACAGCCCTCCAAATGCCATGAGACTCATGACTGAATCTCTAACACTAACGCTTCCCGCCACAGGCCAGGACGCAAAATTCAGACAGCGATCTGCACCATTTCATTACTGCTATTCAGATGTCATTTGAGTGCAGGCTATCACCATTAATACTAACTCCCTATTTAGCACCCCTGCTTTGCACACTCTTCCCCCAACCAGCGCCCAGCTACCAAACTGCTGCCTCTTGTGTCTCTGGGGGTGCGAAGGCGGTTCTGCGAGACAGAAGGGATGCCAGAATAACACCTTGCCTTTTTGCCATGCCTCTCAGACTCCTGTGGGTCTCTGGCCTGCTAAAAACTGCTGCTGGTGGTGGTCTGAAGTTTTTCTGATGAGCCATTTCTGGGAAAGGCTGCAGACAGCTCCTGCTTTTCAAGCAGGTGTCGGGGGAGATGGCTGCTGGTCCCTTGTTCCCCAAAGATTTCTCCCTGGGTACACTGCACTGACAGACAGCAGTGGGACTTGATATGCTTGGATAGTAAAGTAGCAGGGATCATATCACAAGAACTAAAGAAAGAAAATGTTACACTGGAAGGAAAATAAAAAGTTCTTTCTCAGCAGTCCATAACATTTTTTCATGGAAAAAAAAAAAAAATATATATACACACACACACACACAGCCTGGCCAGACAATCACAATGCATGCTTGGATAGTAAAGTAGCAGGGATCATATCACAAGAACTAAAGAAAGAAAATGTTACACTGGAAGGAAAATAAAAAGTTCTTTCTCAGCAGTCCATAACATTTTTTCATGGAAAAAAAAAAAAATATATATACACACACACACACACAGCCTGGCCAGACAATCACAATGCATCCCACGCCTGAGACTATTTACTGCACCGTTCCCTCTTTTCTGCCCCAGTGTAGAGCTAATACATGAGCCAAAAAACATGTAATGAAATGTTAATTTTGGAAGAGCTAGCTCCAGTAAATACACGAAATTGTGAATTATACAGGAGAAAGCAGATACAAGATTGCAAACACAATAGGCAGAATATTATTTTACTCTGTAAACCATTTACTAATAGACCTTTTCAAAATATGCATCAAACACTATATAATGGATATATTTCTCATCCTCCCCCACATAAGTGAAACAAAACAAATTTATTCTGATTGCTGTTAAACTTGACTCCACCTAATGTAAGCTAATTTATGACTACTTAGGGTAAGTATAAATGTAAACAAAAAAAACTATGGGTTTTCTATTTCTGCATTACTAATAACAGTAAATATGGCTTGTGCTATGGATGCCTATTATGTTGCACAAAGAGGGAAAGTACATACATTTTAACTTCCTGAAGAGGACAGCAAATGCTGGAAATGTCAGGCCAATTAATAATGGTTGTATGAATATCTAAAAGACTATGGCAAAACCAAGACAAACATAAGTGAACCCAAGAGACAGTCTCAGACTTCACATTTCAGGAAAAAATGTCTAGTTATTCATGGACAAATAAAAGCTCAATTTGCTAGCTAGAGTTTTGTTCTGATTTAATAGCAAACACTCATCTGTACTCCATCCTGCTAGTTATCAGTTAGTGCATGCTGACAGGTCTGTAAAGGCTCTATAGGAATAACTGAGTTTCTGCCAACTTTGCATGCTGTTGGGTCGGTCCTTATGTGGAAGGCTTATTAATGTGTACTCTATGATAGCAAGTATTTCTGACATTTTACTCCAAGTCCTCAGTGGTCTTTGCAGGCCTGTCCTGAAAGACAGTAGGACATGTATCACGCCTCCCTTGAGCATATTACAAAAGCTGAGCTGGCTATCTAAGCTTTTGCATAATTTTGAGGAGTCAGCATAACTAGGGAACATGGTCTAAACTAGAATTAGCCTTACTTCCTCTTTAACCATCTTTCCTCTCTTCTCGCACATAAGTGATATTGAGGTTTCAGTGTGGGAAACATGGAAACTATGTTTAGCATCTGTTCTGCTACTCCTCCTGTCAGCCAGGACTCAGGCAGTCATACAGACTGTGCTCTCCTTCAAATCCAGTCAGGACCATTGATGTCAATTTACCAGCAACCGCTACAGGTGATGTATGTGGTCCTTGCATATCCTCCCGCACAGGGAAAAGTTTTCTCTAACACATGGATGGGAGTTGTGTGTTGAGGGTTGGCAACTGCTGCCTTTCATCCTCTCGGTGATCTTAAGAAGTGAAGAATTTCTGAATCCACTGACCTTGCGAGACACAGTGATGCTGAACAATCAGAGCTAATAAAACCTGATGTAATCTCATGTGAAACTGATATGGTAGGAAAGCATAGAAATAGATGAAGAAATATGAAGCATTTCTCAGCTATACAAGAATGTCTGATGACTGACATAATGTGGTATCTCCAAAAAGAGACAGAAAACGTCCTTCAGCTGCTCCTTGCATGCATCATTTCATCTTGTCTTTCCTTGATTTCTCTTTACTAATTAAAGCCTTCAAGCCTTAACCCCACGTAAGCTGTGAAAGGAAGGCTCTAACAGCAAACTACTGTACTGAACAGCTGACAGAAAGCAGTACGGGTATTTCTTTCTTAAATACAGGGACTTAAAAATGTGCTTTCTGCTATACTTCTAAATGCAAGCTCCTGGACCAAATGTAATATAAAAATTGTCAGCATTCACCATCATGAAGAATAGCTGCATGGTCTGGCCACATATAAACGTAGACAAAACTATTAATACTGACAATTCTTGGCAAGGGTTTTTTACATATAGGTGCCAGTTCTATTTCTAGTAAATACTTTTCATTACTCATTTACATGTTAGTCTTTTTTCTCATCCATATTAATGCTGTTTCTGGAGCAGTTTGGCAACATCAAACAGTAAGTTGGATAAAGTAAAGCAATATTAATAAATAATATAAAATAGATTCATTATAAGGCTCCTTTCAATCTTGCCAAGTTTTGTACCTTTATGGTAATAATTTTAGTAGTGGATGGGTCATCTTCCTGGATTACACATGACAAGAACATACTCTCATGACACCTCACAAATAAGCCTTTCATTTCTAGTAACCAGTGTCTGGGGTAATGTAATATGAAGAAAGCAACAC